ACTGTGAGCAAACAGGAAAAATATTTTGCCACGAGTAGCTTACATCCTAAATTTTTAATTTATCCTTTATTTAGGACAGATTTTTAGAAGTGGCATTTCTGAGACACAGAGAGTGAATATTTTCAAGTCTTTTGATGTATTTTGTTTTTTTCTGAAAGACAAATTAAATCACGTTTTCATTCCAGTGTGTGAAAATACCTCTTTTACCACATTCTTAACAGCACAGATATTGATTGTTAACTCTTTTCTTTAATATTCGTTTAGTAACGAATTAAAACATGTTAATTTGCATTTTAAATTTTGGTAAGGTAGGAAGTTTTCAAATATGTTATTACCTATATGTATTTCCTAATTTGAAAAGAATGAAATTTAGATGTCAGTGGTCTATTTGTTAATAAGAGGCAAAATGGAACTTCAATGCTAATCTAATCCAAATCCTTCATTTTTTATACACCATTCTACCAAATGAGATCTATAGAATAGAAATTTCCTCTCAACATGTAGAAGAATATTCTAAGTCCCAGAATTGCTATTGAGTAATGTGGCCTACTATGTGGATGTAAATTAAAGTTTAGAATGGAGCCTATGTTTAAGGAGTGCCAGCTTGTAAGGCTGGAGAAACTGCTGGGTTCCAGAGGGTCTCCCAAGCCTGAGATTCTGACAGCACCCACACATACATACAAACATACACAAGAAACCACACAAATATACATAGCGTTTGGTTCTTTTTTTTTTTTTATACTTTAAGTTCTAGGGTACATGTGAACAACGCACAGGTTTGTTACATATGTATATATGTGCCATGTTGGTGTGCTGCACCCAATAACTCATCATTTACATTAGGTATATCTCCTAATGCTATCCCTCCCCCTACCCCCTCCCCACAATAGGACCTGGGGTGTGATGCTCCCCTTCCTGTGTCCAAGTGATCTCATTGTTTAGTTCCTATGAGCGAGAACATGCGGTATTTGGTTTTCTGTTCTTGCGATAGTTTGCTGAGAATGATGGTTTCCAGCTGCATTCATGTCCCTACAAAGGACACAAACTCATCCTTTTTGATGGCTGCATAGTATTCCATGGTGTATATGTGCCACATTTTCTTAATCCAGTCTGTCACTGATGGACATTTGGGTTGATTCCAAGTCTTTGCTATTGTGAATAGTGCTGCAATAAACATACATATGCATGTGTCTTTATAGCAGCATGACTTATAATCCTTTGGGTATATCCCCAGTAATGAGATAGCTGGGTCAAATGATATTTCTAGTTCTAGATCCTTGAGGAATCGCCATACTGTTTTCCACAATGGTTAAACTAGTTGACAGTCCCACCAACAGTGTAAAAGTGTTCCTATTTCTCCACATCCTCTCCAGCACCTGTTGTTTCCTGATTTTTTAAATGATTGCCATTCTAACTGGTGTGAGATGGTATCTCATTGTGGTTTTGATTTGCATTTCTCTGATGGTGAGTGATGATGAGCATTTTTTCATTTATCTGTTGGCTGTATGAATGTCTTCTTTTGAGAAATGTCTGTTCATATCCTTTGCCTACTTTTTGATGGGGTTGTTTGATTTTTTCTTGTAAATTTGATTGAGTTCTTTATAGGTTCTGGATATTAGCCCTTTGTCAGATGAGTAGATTGCAAAAATTTTCTCCCATTCTGTAGGTTGCCTGTTCACTCTGATGGTAGTTTCTTTTGCTGTGCAGAAGCTCTTTAGTTTAATTAGATCCCATTTGTGAATTTTGGCTTTTGTTGCCATTGCTTTTGGTTTTAGACAAGAAGTCCTTGCCCATGCCTATGTCGTGAATAGTATTACCTAGGTTTTCTTCTAGGGTTTTTATGGTTCTAGGTCTAATATTTAAGTCTCTAATCCATCTTGAATTAATTCTCGTATAAGGAGTAAGGAAAGGATCCGGTTTCAGCTTTCTACTTATGGCTAGCCAATTATCTCAGCACCATTTATTAAATAGGGAATCCTTTCCCCATTTCTTGTTTTTGTCAGGTTTGTCAAAGATCAGATGGCTGCAGATATGTGGTATTATTTCTGAGGACTCTGTTCTGTTCCATTGGTCTGTATCTCTGTTTTGGTACCAGTACCATGCTGTTTTGGTTACTGTAACCTTATAGTATAGTTTGAAGTCAGGTAGCATGATACCTCCAGCTTTGTTCTTTTGGCTTAGGATTGTCTTGGCAATGCGGGCTCTTTTTTGGTTCCATATGAACTTTAAAGCAGTTTTCTCCAATTCTATGAAGAAACTCATTGGTAGCTTGATGGGGATGGCATTGAATATATAAATTACCTTGCGCAGTATGGCCATTTTCACAATATTGATTCTTCCTATCCATGAGCATGGTATGTTCTTCCATTTGTTTGTGTCCTCTTTTATTTCACTGAGCAGTGGTTTGTAGTTCTCCTTGAAGAGGTCCTTTACATCCCTTGTAAGTTGGATTCCTAGGTATTTTATTCTCTTTGAAGCTGTTGTGAATGGAAGTTCATTCATGATTTGGCTGTTTGTCTGTTACTGATGTATGAGAATGCTTGTGATTTTCGCACATTGATTTTGTATCCTGAGACTTTGCTGAAGTTGCTTATCAGCTTAAGGAGATTTTGGGCTGAGACAATGGGGTTTTCTAAATATACAATCATGTCATCTGCAAACAGGGATAATTTGACTTCTTCTTTTCCTAACTGAATACCCTTTATTTCTTTCTCTTGCCTGATTGCCCTAGCCAGAACTTCCAACATTATGTTGAATAGGAGTGGTGAGAGAGGGCATCCCTGTCTTGTGCCAGTTTTCAAAGAGAATGCTTCCAGTTTTTGCCAATTCAGTATGATATTAGCTGTGCGTTTGTCATAAATAGCTCTTGTTTGGTTCTTTTTTAAATTTCACTTTGAAATTTTGTTTCTTTCCCTTTTTATCTTTGAAATGGGGTCTCACTTGGTCACCCAGGCAGTGGCGTGATTATGGCTCACTACAGCCTCAACCCCCTGGGCTCAAGCACTCTTCCCACCTCAGCCTCAGGCTAAAAAAAAAGAAATAAAGAGGAGGGGAGGAGTTGGGGAGAGAGGAGGCAGAGCCTGGAACATAGAGGCAGGAAAGTCTGCCTTATTGTGGAGGCAGGGATATCACTATTCAGGGCCCAGGAACTTCTATACTGCTAAATCCATGCTAAGAAATGTAGAGTTTAGTTAATTAAACAACTTAGCACATTTTTTGTGGACCCTGATCAGACAGGAGAAGTGATGGTTTATGTACAAGCTTTCTCATTCCCCAGAACTTTGAAGAACAACTTTCAGGAAGTATCTCCTGGTCATAATATATAAGAGTGTGTGAGTGTGTGTGTGCGTATATATATGTAGATATATGTATGCACACATACACTCATATATACCTATATATACATGTATATAGGTATTCATGTGTATATACACACACACACATACGTTATGTTAATATATAAAATATTTATAATATAAATATATGTATATATTTTTGATAGGGGCAGTGTCTTCCTGTGTTGTCCAGTTTGGTCTCAAACTCCTGGCCTTCAGCAATCCTCCCACCTTGGCCTCCCAAAGTGCTGGGATTACAGCATAAGTCACTGTGCCTGGCCTCATGGTAATTTTAACCTGTAGGAGAATGGGTGGGAGGATCCAGGGGGCCTGAGTAAAGTAGAACTGGGACAATGAAGACAACATCTTGATGGATGCCAGCAGAAAGGTGTCTTCTTGGGCTTCTGAATGTGAAGAGGAGGAGTTCCTCGAGACAAGAAGAGAACTTCTCTTAGCTCTGGATCCCACTTTATGTATCTATATGTCCACACAGACATTTAATATTTATTTATCGAGTATATAGCATGTGCTAGGCATTGTATTTATATAGATTTACTGGTGTGCAAGACATGCATAATTTCTCCAAGGATCTTTATTTAGTTGTTCTAATGGACACATGCACACACCTTCATAAACAGGACATTACTGTATGACAAATGTCACGCAGGGCACGGTGGAAGGAAACTGATGGAACATTTGGTGCTCCACTATTGGAAAGGGAGGAGCTATCTGTGAAAACGTCCTTGAGGAAGCAACTTCAAAGCTGAGACTCCTGCAAGGATTGCATTTAGTCACTCGTAGGGACAGGCTGATCAGCCAATGTAAAGTTTATTTACTTCTGAGCAATGGGCTTGTGACTTCAATATGTTTGTGAGAGTTTCCTTGGCTGAAGCTTTCTCACATTACATGTCATTGTTCAATATCACACAACTAAAGCACCTAAAAGTAAATACTGACTTTAGCTTAATGTTGGACTTGAGGTTGTAAGGTAAAATCAGGGATGAGAGGAGTCAAGGATAGGGTCAAAGTCTCTTCTTCTAGAGGAATATGGTCAGGAGAGAGCAGAACCTCAGAAATTTGGGGAGGTGGGGGTGGCGGTGGGTGTTGCTTGAACCAGGTGTTGAGGAAGAATGCAGGAGTTCTGAGGTTTCTGATGTGACTTGGGGGTCTGAAAGTTACTGCTGATCAGCATAGAAAAAGATGAGAAGAAACTTGGCCAGGTAGAGAAGATGGAAGCAGTCCCAAGGAACCATTGAAGGAGGTGTATTTCCGGAGGTGAGTTAGAGCAAATGGCATTTACCTGGGCTCTGCCAGGCTCTCTTCTGGGTGCTCTGTTACTTATTGTTCTTTTTAGTTTTTATTTAGTTTCATTTTAGTTTTAGTTACATTGATGATGGTCTTCAACAAAGCTGCTTTCTGGATAGCTTTGATGCTACTAAAAATGCCAGTTCTCAGATGTAGGAGGAATCATTCAAATTTAAGCAAGAGAAGGTCAGTTTTTTTTTTTTTTAAGCCACAGCTGAAGAAATAAATTTGCCCATACTTTATTTAGGATGCGAGCAAAAAACTTTGGGAGCATGGGGTACTATAATACATACTCAATACTCAAATTTTCAGTCCAATTTGGGGCCTCAGTAATAACTCAATAATACATACTCAAATTTTCAGTCCAATTTGGGGCCTTCTTATAGGCACCCAGGGGCAATTTTAGCCCCAGGACTCAGAACTGGCCTTTTTAAGACCTAGGAACTTGATAATGACATGGCGGATCTCCTTGGTCTTAATACTGTATATGATTGGGTTAAGCATGGGAGGCACAAAAAGGTAGACATTGGCCATAAGAAGATGAAAAGCAGGTGGGGCATGCTTCCCAAAACGGTACACCAGGGACAACCCCATCATGGGCACAAAGAATACTAGCACAGCACAGAGATGAGCAGTGCATGTCTGAAAGGCACGGTGCTGGTCCTCCTGGGAGGCCAGGCCTGCTACTGTGTGCAGGATGAGTCCATAGGACAGTGCGATGAGCACCAGGTCCAGCATCACAGTGAAAACTACTACCATCAGTCCATACAGGTTATTGAAGGTGGTATCTGTGCAGGCTAGCTGTATCACTTCCTGGTGCAGGCAAAACGAGTGGGAGAGGACCACAGATCCACAGTAGGGAAAAGCCTTCAGGAGGAGGACAATAGGGATAGTGGCCACAGGTCCCCGGAAAATGACAATCAGGCCTGCCCTGACCACTTGCTGGCCAGTGATAATGACCGAATACCTCAGAGGGTGGCAGATGGCCACAAAGCGGTCAAAGGACATGATGAGGAGCACCGAAGACTCCATGAAGGAAAATGAGTGGATGCAGAACATCTGGATTTGACATGCTCCAAAGTAGATATGATGGGAGTTAAACCAGAAGATCCCCATAGTGGTGGGCAAGGTGGACACACACAGCCCCAGGTCAGTGAGGGCCAGCAAGGACAGTAGATAGTACATGGGTGTGTGCAGACGAGGGCTGGTCTTAATAATGATCAGAATGAAACAATTGCCTGAGATGGCCACCATGTACATAAAGAAAAAGGGGATGAAAATCCAGTGTTTGATGGCTTCCAATCCAGGAAAGCTGGTGAGATAGAACATGGGGCTAAACTGAGTAATGTTGGACAGCGGCATGAATTGAAGACTGCGTGAATATTGGGCTGACATTCCTCGGGGATTGAGCTGAAAATAAATGGATATTTCTGGTTACTAATTCTTCAGCTTCACTAACATTTACAACATCCCAAGCAGTACCACGGTCATCATCACCTTTAGTATTATCTACTCCACCCTTATGAATTCCACCAGGCTCACTTCTGAACTTTCTTTGATAACATTGCCCTCACCAGTTTTTCTCTGTATTTCTGTTATTCCAGTTCCTCTCTGCCTCTTTGCTGGTGTGTCTTTATTGCTCCACCCTTAAGTATAGCTCTTCCCATCCTTGGCAATTTTCTGGCCATATTCTATTATTTCTTCTTAATGTCATCCACTCCCGTGATTTCATTTACCATCCATATACTGGTAAATAACAAATATATAATTCCAGAACTTGTCTTCTCTTTTGATTTCCAGATTCTAGCAACATCTGTACTTTTCGTTATCTCAGTGGCCCAAGTCAAATATCATGTTATATGTTAGACTTCTCCATATCACATCTCTCCGTAGTATCTAATCAACCAATCACCAAGTGCTGGGGTTTCTGTTTACCAGATAATTCAAGTCTGTTTACTCATCGTCACCTTCATTGATGCTATTCTAATTCAGATCACTCTTTCTGGACGTTCCAGTGACTTATCTTTTCTACTACTCTATTCAGTTGACTACTATATAGCAAGAGAGACATAAAAGTTTTTAATGAAGTAAAAAAGGTTTAAAATGACATTCAAGACCCTACCTTATTTTCTCTCTGTATATATCCTATTTTCTTATCTACCTTAATTTTCTCTGCTACATTCATGGTGTTAATGACACTAAACAATTCTTCCAGTTTATCTAGTATTCTTGCTCATATGTAAACATTTGTATTTTCATTCTTCCTGTAATAAAAACATTTTTTCCTTAGATAGCTTTCCCTTAATCTTTGTCTAGTTACCTTCTACTGATACAACCCACCTTAGCTTAGATATGATATCCTTCAGCCTTCTTAAATTCCTCAAGTTTAGTTTGAATACCCTCTCCTATGTGTTCCTATACTTCACTACGCATTAATTACCATGATACTTCCCCTGCAGCATTGTCAATTTCTGTATTGCCTCTATAATGTGAATTGCTTGTGGACATAAACCATGACTGTCTCTTTTTTAATTTTAATTTTAGCTCTAGGCATTGACTTTTTTAGCCACCACACCGTTGGAACCCTTTAAATGTTATTTGAATAAATTATTTAAAATGTATCACTACCATTAATCTTACTTCAATAATTATTTATTAATTGATTCAATAAATAGATACTGAAATTGTGTTACATGGCAGACATGATTCTATTAGGTTGGTGCAAAAGTAATTGTGGTTTTTACCATTACTCTCAATGGCCAAAACCACATTACTTTTGCAACTGAGTACTGAAAATATAATGAACAGAAACAGAATAGAGGTAAAAGGAAACACATACATACATACTACAATGCAAGGTAATGTAATGCAATAAAGAAATGTGGAGTAAAGGAGGAAGGTGAGAGTTATGCATTTTATATAGCGTAGTCAGAGAAGATCTCTCTGAGGAGGTAATTTTAGAGAAGCAATCAAAATCAGAGGGCAAGTGTGTGGCTATCTTAAAGAAAAACATTCAAGGAAGAAGGAAGAACAAGTGAAAGTTCCAGAAGCAGAGAGCAGCTTGACAAGTTTAAAAGACAAAAGAAGGACAATGTATATTCAATAGAGGAAGCAATGTGGGGAATGGTGGCAAATGCACTTGAAGTGGCAGCTAAATGCTACGTCATGTATGATCTTGCAGGTCATGCAAGCTACTTTGAATTTTATTATACTTGTGAGTTTTGAGTTGAGAGCAGAGGTGCTGCGTGGATATAAGGCCTACATCACTTTGGCAAGGGGTAAAAGAACGGTCCGGAGTAGATTGAGTTGGAGTCCTTGTAGGATAAATGCTAACATGGAAGCCCCAAATCAATCTATTCCAAACCCAAACTGATTTCTTTTTGCTCCCCTATCTCATTAGGAATGTTTCTCTCTTTCCTTCAGTTGCCTTGTTCTAAAACCTAAACTCAGGTTCCTTTGATTCCTTCCTCACCCTGACATGATTCAGTATATTGAACCAAATTATTAATATATCAATTCCTTACCTTCTAGTCTTTCAAACCTCTCCTTCACCGTCACTGTCCCTCCTTGAGGTGAGGGGGGCCTCACTTCATTTCCTTATTTTTATTTTTATTTTTTGCATTTTTTTCTTAACATCATAATACTTTTCTGTTTTAAGTGACTAATATTTTATCCCAGTTTGTCTTGTCGGTTTGTTTGTCTTTTAATTTTTAATGAAATATCTTTTTAAAAAATACACAGGTGCTAGTTTTTTTGTCTTGGAAAATCTGCTTTTTTTTTTTTTTAAATATGATTTCTAGGGTCTTTCTTTAGTTTAAAAGATCTCTTTTGGACCATAATTCTGAAATTATTCAACTGTGTATTTCTAAAATGTTTAGTTTTTCTTTTTATGTTTAATTGAATCAAAACTTATTTTTACATATGGTACGAAGTAAGGCTCTAACTTTATCTTTTCCTAATGGATGGCCATTTTCCCAATATTATTTTTTTAAACAATTCAATATTTCTTCTCCCATTTGAAATGTTTTCCGCCACCTCACTGCTAGATATGGGTCTGTTTATTAATTTTATTTTGTGTGATGAATCTATCAGTTCATTTCTAAGACAATACTACATTGTTTTAACTAGTCCAGCTTTATAATAAGTCATTCTTCTATTTTTTTCACATATTTTTTGCTACTTCTGTGCATTCTTCAATAAATTTAGAATGAATTTGTAAAGTTAAAAAAAAAATGGTCCACATTTCTTTTCCATTTCTTCACTTCTCAGTTTACTACTCAACCAACTACCCTATAATGTTTTTTTTTATAACCTTCTTAGCTAAAGCAATGCTCCTTAAATTCACCAGTGACCTCTAGGGGCCAAATGCAATGGAGAGTCTTAATTATACCTGCTTTTATTGATTTTTTTTTTTTTTTTTTTTGGTGCAATAGTTTTGTGTCCTGGCTATGCCTTCCTTTTCAGAGCTCTCTCTAGAAATTCTTAATGCCAAGATCTGCTGATTGATTCTCTTCTGATTTTTGTGATCGCTTCTATGTACTCTGTTACTTCCATTGCTCAAATATTTATGTTACTCAGTTTCCTGTCCTTGAACACCTTAAATTCTCATTCATTATATTATCTTTTATTATTATTACTTATACAGTAGTAGCTCTTAGACATTAATCTCTAGTCCAAATAACTCTGTTACATATGAGGCCTAAGTTTCTGCCTTCTCACTAGGTGTTTCCAAAAGAATACTGATGAAACTCAACACATCTAACATTGAGCCCAGCATCAATCTCTTCACACCTGATTCTTCTCATGTTTATGATTTTTGATAATATTATTTGCCATTTCCAGTCATTCAAGACAACATTTTTGAGCTAGTGCTCTACTCAACCCTCTCCCTCTTTGTGTATCTAATTTTTAATTAAGTCCTTTTAATCTATGCCTGTAATCTATTTTTCATCTTCATCTCTGTAGCCAGTGTCCTTGTTCTTAGCTTTCCCACACCTGCTTGCCTTACTTGTCATTCAACATGCAAAGCCAGGCTCCTCATTCCCTTGGTCCATCCTCTACTGCAGCCATGGAAATTACGCAGAAAGTGCTAACTCTATGAATCACTGCACTGTTTTCAGTCCTTCAGTAGCTCCCCGTCATTAGAATAAAGTTCAAACTTGTAAAAGATCTGTGGTGATAGTCCAATTCATTGAGGTCATACATGTTTTAGATGCTGTGAAAAACTTTACATAATCATGAATATTTCTTATAACTATGAAACATTTTATCCCTACTTCACAAGGAGAAAACTATAAAAAGGTAAACAACCATCCCAAGGCCTGGTAGTGAGCTAAAATCAGGATAAGATATGAACCCTTGTCTCTCTATGCGTGGTCCTGGTAGCCTAAAACACCCTGTAACACCATCTTTAGCCAGGCCCTTCTTGTTTTGACACCTTTCCAGACCCATCTTTTCCCAGTTAACACACCCATATCATTTTTTCCTTCAATTTCCCACACATACTTTTCTTGTTTTTATTCTTCTATATTTATTGCTTTCTTGGCAAAAACCACCCCTGTTTTTCCAACCAGTAAACACTTGCTGATCTTTTAAGACTTAGTACAAATATGACTTCTTCTGGCAAATCTCTCCTGACTTCCTTCTGTAGCATTAGGTAAATCTTTATTTAGGTAATTAGGTAAATCTTTCTCTGTTCTCATGTAGTACCTGTAATGTACTATTAAGGTGTAAATACACACACATTCTTTATATTTTTATATTTATATATACTTATGATACTTATATATATATGGAATATACTTATACAGCTATATAAGTACAAATATGTATGTTTAAATAACATAAGTTTATAGATTTACTCATATATACTTTATAGAATATACATTTTAGTATATAATATATTCTTTATATACTTTATAGATATATTTATATATAAGTATAGAGTATACATATGTGTCCGTATATTTATATATGTAAACATAAATATACAAAATATTTATTGTTATGTATTTGTACACATATTTATACTTACATATACTTTGTACAACATATATTATTTATCTATTATAGGTAGTATTTATAAATATTCTTTATTATATGTGTTTAGAACATAAATTTATGTTGGCAAAAACTACCATTAATTTTGCACCAACCTAATAATTCACTTTTAAAAGTTGATTAGACTGGAATTCTCTAAGGGCCTCTGGAGCCTGACAGTGTCTAAGATGTGGTAGGTACCACTATATATATATATTTTTTTTTTGCGTGAAAAACTAAATGGGTGAATAAATAAAGTACTCACCTCTTATCCTGATTCTTTGTGCCTGGGGTTCTGTTGCCAGCTCTGTGTTCACCAACTTCAGAGTGATGAGATGGACAGGGAGAGGGATCTGGTGGAAGCAAGATGTC